TATATATATATATAATTTGAGAGATTCTGTAAACATGCTATTTTACCTTCAGGTATATCGAGAGTCAAAAATTCTGCAAAAGAACGTTGAGCATCAGCAGCAGTATCACTTTCAAAAAGATAATCTGTGAAAAAAATAGCCTCTTGGGTAGATAATGAGGCGTAAGCAGCACGAGGTAATTGATGCACCGCCATTAAATCTTTCGGTTCATCTTCTATGACATCCGTACTTTCGTAATGAAGTTCTTGAAATATAATAAAATTTTAAACCAATAAAAACGAATTAATGGTTAAAAACGAAAGCTATATGGGTTTTTTGAAATTTTTTGACGTTTTACTTTCAAATAATGCAAATAATGAATGGAATGTGAAATAAGAAACCTACCAGCTCTACTGCATAATGAGCGTATGATATGCTCCTTAACGGCATCTATTGCCTGACCAACATTTGCTTTACTTGGTAACGCTGCTTTCACAAGAATATCAACCATTAAATCCATGACGCAGAATGCCGACAAATTTTCATTATCAAGATCAGGCTTTTTTTCTAAAACTTTACATGAAGATTAAAATTGCCAAACATGACCATTTGTCTAATTTTATTAAGAGACTAATGAGCTGCCTTTTACCAAGATCAGTGAAAAAATACAACTTTCAAGACCATAAGAACCCGGAAGCAAGTCAATGTAAAATAAGCTGATGCTCAAATTTTTGTGTAAAAGATCTTATATTTGACATACCTGTAGACTTATTTGACTTATTTGACATACCTGTATTTATAAATAATTCGATCAAAAAAGCGCTCCTCTCTCTTTTTTTATCACGTGGTTTTAATGGCTCATTTTGGGCAAGTTGCACACCATCTACAAGTGCAACATTCGTTTTTAATAGCTGCAATGATTTATGCACCTAGCATAATATTTCAGTTTGCAAAGAAAAAAACTATTAAAAAGGATTTAGAGATTGAACTGAAAAATAAATAAATTATATCTCATTATTTGAAGCACAAATTTTCTTCTTTAAGTGCTACTAAAATACTAATGTACCACATACACAATCGACCCAATTACGTATTGCATTAATGAACTGATTGTGAAAATCCCACATGCCATCAATTAGAGGAACTGATAATCGAAAGCTAACAGATGACTTCAAACTTATCCAATCCAACTACAATAGTAACAAATGAAGCAATGAATTAAAAAATATAGTAAATAATTGCGCAATGAAATGAATAGAAATTCGACATAAAAGTGAAGGAAAATACAATTCACAAATACCTGTCCAAAGCATACTCTGGTTTGCGAGCCATCAGCACTTTTCCGACTGCAGTCAACAATACAACCAAATGGCTTTTCTAAACGCGTTTCAATCCCAATCAGTGCCTACAGCATATAATTTCGAAGAACATGACAACCCGGTGTACAAATCAATAATAATGTTACGCTTTTCGAAATATTTTCTAAAGTTGTAGTACAATAGCTACAGAGAAATCAAAAGTGCAGTGTAAAACATCAAAATAACAGAACATTGACATTGAAATTAGCACAAAAATTTTCGATAATATTTCTTCACATAATATCAACTTTTCAGACTTGAAGATCAAAAAACAGCTCAAATCTGTGCCTTTTCATATTTACAGAGCAATTTTGCTTCCAAAAGATGAAAATTAAATTTGAGTGTCAAAATTACAAACCATATTCTTATCAACAATTTTCATGCTTAAAGAGCTCAAAGCATTATGATGAACTGATATTTGAGCAAGTGCTTGAATAAGCATCACACGAATTTCCGATGATTTTAGTGACTTTGCTGAATCAGATAACCATAATAAACCTGAAAAGAACATTACTTCGTTTATATTATGCATAGCAGAACATAACCATCATTAAGTGTTCCTACAGTAGTCTGAGGAGAGATGGTATCTTTAAGTGTTAGAGTTTGAGTGAGTAATCATAACCTAATACAGCAAGAGTATGTACCAACTATAGTGATGCCTCCAGGTAAAAATCTTAGGACACGCGAACCAGCATCACTGATCCAGTTAGGATCAATCGATTTTGAACGTGAATCATCTCCCTACAACATAAGCTCGTTTGTTTAACAAAGAAAAATTAAATCTAAAGCGACAAAAGATAATTACATAGTTCGAATTGATGCGGTAATTTTCAATATTTTCCATGCTTCATAACAATGAAAAAATCAGACACAATATCACGTCTTGAATGACTCATAAACAATGCACAATCTACACTGAATTATATACACTACACACAAATTGCCTAAGCTAGAAATAACTAGTCAAACACTGAGACTCGACACTAGGTATTTATTTGAAATAAATACCTTGTCTTGTACGGTATTAGGATAGGGACACAAAGCAATATGTGCCACATGAAAATTTTCATCTACTTTAGAACCAATTAAAAACCCAGCACTACCACCAACTTCACAACTCTTCTGCTTCTCACAATATTCTCGCATGTAGCGATCCAGTATGCTTTCTAAGCACTTATCCAATATAATCATCGGCACAACTGTACGCTGCACTGTTACATCTACGAATCAAAAGGCCAAAGTATACCTGTAAAGACAGTAGCAAACTTTTCAAGAAATTCTGAACTAAATAAGCGAATCCAAACATGGAATTGTCTGTCTTTAATTCCTCAAAACTTGTTTTAGAGAAAAAAAATTCATTCCAAACAACTGCTGTGGATAGCGATTCCCACTGATTATAATCTGCCTTAACTCCTGATTACTAATCATTTAATTCAAGTAAAAGAAAACAACCATAATACAAAAAATTCAAAAGACTCGTACTTATCACAGAATATCAACTGACACAAAGAGAACTAAACTACTTACAATCAGAAATCAACTATTATTAATCTATTATACAATGATCACAAAACATTATTTAGTAACATCTAAAAATTTTATGATAAACGGAAGGAACATACTTTGGAAATAAAAATCATTAAATGTTATCACAACAGATATACTGCATTCTATTTTTTTTCTTGTGCTGCTTCATTTTTAGATGTCCTGCAATTTACGAAAAATTAAACTTCGTTCCTCTAAATGGCACTAATTCAAAGTTTAATATATTGCATTATTCTAAAAAATCACTCCCAAACACATCAACTTCAAACCGAATACATTTCCGGAAATGATTTTTGTTATAATCAAAGGATTTTTGTCAAAAGTTATTGAAAAAATCCTGCATAAAAGATATCGAATAATACTACTATAAAAAATAAACAATGTAATACTTTTTTCCTGTATGTTTGCCCATGAAATATGCACCAACTAAACCACCAATAACTGCTCCTACTTTAAGGACATTTATCCAGTTGTCGTCCACAGTCGTAGTTTCTTTTTTTTCAGTTCTCTTGAATATAAGTATACTTATACATTTTGAAGGATTCCTAAGAATCTTTTATGACCTATAACATTTTTGATGACATACAATAATTATATCTGTCAATCTCTTATGGAAAAAAGTAGGTACGCAAAATCAAGTTAAATTTTTGATCTTATCCCCTAAAATAAATTTGGAGAACTCAGCCTTTTTATTCCAAGAATATAATAAGTACAGCGAATAAATTCTTTAACTGAGCCCGATAATAATAAAAAATAAGTCTTTGACATTGGACTTTTTTGTTAATCCAAAAATGCAAGTTAGATTTACCGTATTCTACCAATAAGCTTATTTTAACAAGCGGTAATCGTATGCGTAAAACATTTGATGAGATAGTACAAAATAGTGGCTTACATTGCGACATCTTGTTGGTGCAGCAGGTCTGGATTTTTCATAGCTGTCGACTCTCCCTTTGCCATAAACCGGAATAATCTAACAGAATATACAAATATACAAATTATAAAAATAATTTTAAATAGTGATAAATGTTGGAATGTCAGGCAACTTCAAGGTCAAAATACTGTTTCAGTGGGATGAAAATATAGAGAGAATCTTAGAATTTCGTAGAGCTAAGTCAAAGATAACAGATATAATTACCCCCAAAAAATATTAGCACACCATCAAATGAAATCAGTTTTACACAATAATATTTAGCACCTGTCAAAGGAAATCTGTTTTGCACACAAACTCGCAAGAGTTGACCTTAAAATAGGAAGAAAAATACAATTTAAAAAGCATACATCACACTCGTGTATATCACTTTTGCAGATGGGGCATTGCTTTCTCCTGGCTTTGTATTTTGTAAGCCACTCATGAATACACTTCCAACAATAGAAATGGCCGCAAGCGAGCACAACTGGATTGCTTGCCTCCACATAACAAATGCTACATTCATAACTGAAGTGATAATTGAAAAATCAATGACAAAATATGTTTGAATTTTTGATTGCAAGATAAAATTATCGTTATACAAGAGAAAAATTTTGAAGCAATCAAGAGATAATAAAAGGTGCGCTCAAGAATCACAAAATATTTTCACAGAAAAAAGTAGTTTTCACAAAATGATGAAAGAAATTCCCGTAATATTTTTGTCTGAATGATTTTCACATCAGACAAAACAACGTAGTACTTACCGAGAATCCAAATCCTCCATATGCTTATCAGTCGATGTCGACCCAGTCGATCGTCTGTGTTGCTCTTCCGAAGTAGCCATCGTAGAGCAGCAAAAAAAAATGTATAAATTGGATTTATTGAATCTGAAACTTGGAGTGATAATAACAAAGTTATCCAAGCAAAGGAAGATTCAAAAAATAAAACATTTGAAATAAATTTGCACTCTACTAATAATATGGACAGAACTCATGCTTCACCATACAATTATATTGAATCCGAAAAATTAGAACAGTCCCTAATACCAAAAACTTATTATTATACCAAATCTCTCTAAGTTATTTGTGGTACTTGCCATACAGTGATTACATAGTGTCTACTTGTGTCCTTTTATTCTGTGGCACTGAAAAGACTAATAAATAAATCGTTTTTAGAGTTTCAGCAACAATTACACAAGTATTTCCTATAACTATGCATAAATTCGCACCTATATGAGCTCTCTTGTCAGAGTGAATATTATACAGAATATCATATTTCTAGCTCAGACTGGCACTCACCAAATCTCATCAAATACTAATAAATAAACTAATTAAGGTCTAAGTCACGCTCAAAAATAACTTTTCGATATCTGTTCATGAAATCGTTGCAACATCGTGGTATGATACGAATTTTGAAATTATTTGTTGTAGTGAATGAAAACTTGCAGGCAGTGTGTTTCATTTGAATTCATCAAGGACCTGTCAAGCACTGAACTTTCTAACTAACTGATATTCGAATCATTCCTAAATCGAACTAAAAATACTAATATTTTATCTCAAGTTGAAATTAAATGATACATTAAATCGGCATACTTCTTTGTGTGTATTTGAAAACATCTTTTCAATTTCAGAGTGAAATGCATTTCAAAAAATTTACAAAAGAATTGTCGTTTGTTTATTTTCATTATTTATGGAGACTTTACATAGCGTAACTAACTTATACATTAGCAAATTTTTTAATTCCTATCCAAAATTTTGTATTTTTTGTGCTAGTCAGTGGTTTTTTTGAAATTGTTGATTGATAACCAAAAATCTTTTGCTGCAATGCAAATGCCAGGAAGTAGACTTGCCCCAGGCAAGTCGATTACAGCATTTTTTCCTCATAATTTCCAGTCTCTCAAAATTTTAAATTCATTTCTCCTTGATTACTAAATCGTCTTCAAATTATATAATAGTAATTAATAATAAATATTGCTTGTGGTAATATTTGGTAGAATAGTTACTCTGTGATACCTATCGCAGCGATGGCCGAGTGGTTAAGGCGTTGGATTTAAGTTCCAATGGACAATAAGTCCTCGTGGGTTCAAACCCCACTCGCTGCAACATTCTTTTGGAGTTTCACAGATGTACTTCTAACACATGCAATTTTTCCATAACCACTTGGTTTTCAGCTTTCTTGTAAACCAGCTTTTTCACCTTTTCACAATATAAATTGGACATCTGATGTCCAGACATTTGATAAATAAAGTTAGAGATTTTACGATAATTTTCCGCGAAATATTAACCGTTTTTAATTTATATTTGACCTTCGAACCCAAATAATAATTCTTGCATAGAATGCGTTCAAGAATTGACGGTTTGATCATTCATATTTTAAGAAACTTAGCTTGGAAAAAAATCCTTGTTGATTTATAATTTTATTTTTTACAAATTGTTTTAAATACATTCAAAATTAACACATTTTTGCATATTGAATTTTATTTAATTCGTTATTTGATTACTATTAATACACTTTGTGTCATCAAGATAATGAGCATGCATAATGATTACTTGAAATGTGTCTGAATCAACTCGAAAATATACAATGAACTGTAATATTGCAATGTTATAATATTGTATCAAAGAACGGTGTACAGTTCAGTCTTACTTATCTCTTCAAGTAGTATATTTTAACTTTTATTTGTATGTGATAAATAAAGTTTTGCCTATTTATAGCAATTTTTCAGATAAAAATAATTCAGTTTAAATTCCATTTCTATGAATTAAATTAAAATTATATTATTCTTTTTTGCTATAAAAAGTAACTTCAAATCTGAAAATAATATCACTGATTCATTTAATTTACAAAGTATCAACAACTGAATAATTAGCTCAATTATCAAATACTTAAGTTTGATTAAGCGATATGATTGTTGGAAAAATTACATTGCTATTAAGCTCGGAGAATCTTAATTGATTTAATTTAGAAATAATTTGGAGGTCAGTTTTTGTTTTTGCTATACAAGTTATAATTTAATTTAATAAGTGTAAATTTAATTTATCAAAAAAAATAAGTTCTAAAATGAAGCATGTATTAACTTTTCTTCACATAATATGCAGTATGATTTTTTCTGAAGTGTAAAATCATTCAAGGCAGCAATGATTAATATAATAAAAAGTCAAAGAAAAATAGTTGCTAATTAAATGTGCGTTTTTATATCAAAAGTCGTAAAAAAGTGTTTTTAAAATATTTACATTATATAAAAAATCAATCGCATATTACTGTAATTAGCGAAGTTTGAAATCTGGAAAGGTTTTGCAACTTATAGCATCAAGAAGACAAATAAATAATTAATTAATTAATTATATTAATAATATCTAATTAGCAACTTTTACTTCTTTTTGCTTTGTTTTATTCGTAATGCAAAAAATATTATTGTTAAGATAAGCAAATTACAATACTTTTCTTACTAAAATAATCAGTACTATTATAAGTTGCTAAATCAGCTGTTGAAGGCAAGTAATTTGCTATCACGTACGGAAGATATTTAGAAATAGAATTTCTTAGCCGGAAAAAATTTATACAAAAGTGATTAATAATACTTTCAAAATTCTGATATGTTTTTAAATTTTCTTAATATTCAAATTAATATCCGCGCAACGTTCCAGCGATCAAAAAGCTGCATAAACTAGAACTTTCTGACCTTCAATAATGGTTCCAAAAATGCTTAGCAATAAGTATATTTGATCTTTTAATTAATAATTGCAGCATTTCTTTCTCACTTAATGTACTACCTAAAAAATATTGCAAGAAACTATTATACGCCAAAAAGATATACTGAATAAATTTCAGCTAATTCTTTATCATTATGAAAGTCATCTACAATTAGATGGCCGCGAAAATTTATGCTAATTACTACTATACTTTGAAAGTGACCCTTAATACATCGAATCATAACTTTGCAAGCTTTATGGCAATTCTTTTTCTTCTTGCATAAGTTCTTTCCATTTTTTTTTGCATAAATAATTTTTTGTTTATTAAATTAATGAAATTGTGAAAAGATTTTCAGATAATTATTTAAGATTAGTCTAAAATGTTTGACTTCATTTTAGGATGATGGAATCTAGAAGAAGACGATACAACGTGAGAAATTTTGGTCGTTTAAGAGTAGATTCAACAGCGTCAGCCACAATCCCCATAATAGTAAAAAAAAAAAGACGATCGTTTACTTGGTAAATTTATTTTTATAAATTCTTCTGCAGGTAGAGTTATTAAGTAAATTATCCAAATTATCAGAGAGCATTTAAGACATTTTTTGTTTTATCAAATTGGTAAGAATATTCTAAACTTGTGTTGATAAAAATTATCGTAGTAAATGTATTTAGAAGTTATCACTACTGATTTTTGATTTATAAATAGTTTTAAATGGCTGAGAGAGTTATTTAAGTAAGAACAGTATTACTGATAATTGCTGATAATTTGATAATTATTACACTTCCAGTTGTCAACACTTAATATATACATTTGGAATGCTAGCCACAATTTACTTAATAGGATTATTGCATTATAATATAGCTAATTTCCCCATCAAGTCAGCGAAATATAGGTATAATTGAATTAAAACTTAATATGATTTCCTAAATTAAAACTGCTTAATTTGTAATTTGCTTAATGCAAGTTGTAATAATTGTTAATTTATTGTATCACCAAATTAATTTTTAAAAATTAAAAAAAAATTTTAATTTTTTTTAAATTAAGCATTTTTATTAATACTGAATCAAGTATGCAGCAAATTCAAAAATACCTCACTTTTTAACTTTTTCTGCAAAAATAGATATGAAACTTGGAAAACAAAGGATGATTTCCTAAATTAAAACTGCTTAATTTGTAATAGATATGAAACTTGGAAAACAAAGGCTTAGTTGTCCAAAATTAGTTTCATATCTTCAGAATAAGTTT